TCCCGGAGCTGCGGGGTCCGCGCCTGGTGCCTGACGAGCCCGTACAATCGTCCTCGTTTATCAAAGTTTTCTTACTTGACGAGGTCGGGGTAGAACTGCCTGTCCCAGGCGCTGTAGAGCGACGTGGTGACGTACAGCCTCTTCCCGTCCAAGCTGAGCTGGATCATCTGGGGTCCCCCCGGCACCCTCCTCCCCTGGGAGCGGGCGGAGGAGCGGACATGCCACTGGAGGGTGCTGGCAGCCGGGCGCTGGGGCTGCCATGTCCATCCCGCGGGATGCAGGGGAGCAGATCCCCAAGGACCCGATCCCCAGCCTTGCCGCCGGCGCCCAGCCTGCTCCGTGGCACTGTCCCCCCTCCGGCATCGCTCAGGCGGAGGTGGGACCGAGCGGATGGTGGGGGTGATGCCGTGGGATTTTGGGGAGACAGCCGAGCTCACCTTGATGAAAAATGGGTCTGGCTGGCTCTGCAGCTCTTCGTCCCTGCACACGGTCACGGGTCCTCCCTTGGTGATGCTGCCACCCACGAAGACCTGCAAGAGACCAAAGGTCTGGGTGGCCGAGACAGCGAGGATGGGACTGATCCCAGCCGTCCCCAGGAGACAGAGGAAAAGCATCAGGATGCGACCGGGAGCCCGCTGCTGCCTCACCTGCCCCACCAGCTTGGGCTTGCGGGTGTCGGAGATGTCGTACTGGCGGATGTCTCCGTGCAGCCAGTTGCTGAAGTACAGGAACCTGTCATCCAGCGAGATGAGGATGTCGGTGATGAAGCCTTGGGGAGGGTACGACAGAGCTGCACGAACAGGCGGCAGCACCGGCAGCGCCTGGGGAAGCTGGGGAGCACCTCAGCACCCAGCCCGGGGATGCACTGACCTGGCATGTCTGGGAGCAGCCACCCCTCCACCTTCTTGCTGGGGACTTGGATCACCTTCTCGGCCGCCCAGTCTCCTTGCTGCAGGAGGAGCACGGCCCCGGGGGACTCAGTGTGCGTGGCAGAGGCAGGAGAAGACCCGATGCTGGGGCAGATGCTGCGTGCACGCGTCCACGACCCCTAGGGCTGCAGCTCAGCTACTTGGCCAGCCACCCCTGGCTCTGCAGAGCCATGGGGGAGGAGGTGGGCTCTGGGACCTGAGGAAGGGCTTTGGAGGCCAAAAACATGTCTAATTTCCCAGCTAGATGAGCTGGTTTGGTGAAAGTTGTTCTCCCTCCTCACCCAGTTCGTCATTACACACAACAACAGACACGGAGAAGAATATTGCTTGGGCAGTCGTAAATCCACAACAAAGGTATAAATAAATCTCCTTTAAATTAAGTCATTTCAGCCTAAACTGCTGCCAGTCAGAACAAGTCCCCTGGTGAGATCACCCCAAGCCAGCTCACGTTCTGGGTGCAGAGAGGCGGCTGCAGAGCCACCACCAGAGGTGGTGTCTGCATCGGTGGGGACCAGAGCTGGTGGGGCGTGTGGGAAGAGGGATGCTGCGCCGAGGCGTGCGGCTGGGTCAGCCGAGGGGCAGCACCCCCTTTTCCAGTAGCTCCACGTACCTCGGTCTTGTAGAAGCGGTGGATGGCACTGCTGATGGTGCAGCCCACGTAGCCCTCGGCGGCGTCGGGGTTGTGGAGGAAGCGGATCTCCAGGGGGGCCGCGTCCTCGCCCAAATCGATGGCCTGCATGTAGGTGTGAGTGGTCCAGTCCCACACGTTGAGGCGGCGTCCGTAGCGGTCTGGGAGGGAGAATGTTAGAGGGGATGCTGCAAGGCGCAGGGTCTCAAGATGTGCTACAGATTCAGGTGAGTCCTCAGCCCCTTTAGCTCCCCGCAGGGACAACCCCATGGTCTCCGCACCAGCACACGCCGGTTGCTTTGGACCTTGGCAAAAGCCCTGGGAAGGTGCCCAGCACCCAACAGGGGCCATCTCGCTAGGACAGGGCTGGGAGGGGCAGTGGCACCTTCTTGGGGGGGAGCTGGGCTGAGAGGGGGCTTCATCCTTCATCCCTACAGCCAAAGTCCAACCCCACATACAGCAGAATTTGTGGACTGCGTTGGGTTGAACTTCTGGTGCTTGCAACTGGTGTGTGTTGTCAATGGGCTGGGCTTGTCTTTTTAAATCCACGGGAGCTCTAGGAATCAGTGCGAAGCTCATTTTGTGAGCACGCTGTCTTGGACAGTTTTATCTACGTCCACCAGGCTGCCAGCCCTCGCTAGCGATGGAAGAGGGTTGAAATTTGGCCTTCTTGCAGTCCTGCTCAGCATCTCTCTCCCAGAGTACGTAAACAACAGCAGCCTCACCTTTCTTCAGGTCATTTGGGTCAAACCCATATCCCAGGCACTTTGGGATTCCCCATTCAGTGCTGATCAGGACGTTATGGCGCGGCTGGTACCAGAAGTCATAACCCATTGGGGGCATCTTGTCCCCTTTCTCCCAGTTCCCCTTGATTTCGAAGGTCTCTCCGTCCAGCAGAATAAAGCCAGCTGATGCAGAAACGAAACCACATCGGTAGTGAGGCAATCATCCAGACGAACAGTGTACGTGTTATAAAACAAGCAGCGACAGGCGGATCAGCCCGTTGCAGACCAGGCTGCTGAATGGGCTGGGAGTCCTGGACGAAGCCTCCAGGGCAGCTCTGGGTGTGGGGACTGTCCCTCCTGTCCCAGCACCCTCTCCCTGGAAGACTGGTGGGGACTGGGGTACCTTTCCCGTTGCCGGCCGGGTCTCCCAGGGCGCTGATCATGATTTCACCGCTGCCCAGGCAGTGGGAGGTGTGGGGGTAGCCCAGGTTGCACTTCCAGAAGACGTCCTCGGAGTTGACAACCTGCCGGGAGTTCACAGGCACTGTCACATCCTCCGTGGGCGTTCGTGGCCGCGCCGAATGCAGGTTCGTAAGCCTGGTGCTACCCCACGGCGCGGCCGGGCAGCTCCTGCCCGACCTCAGCAAGCTGCAGGCAGGAGCCCAGGGCTCCTTCAGAGACACGCGCCGCAGGCAAGACAGGGACTTTAAACCTGTGCCTGACACCTGGCCTGTGCTGGTCCCCTCCTGCACGGAGCTGATGGAGAACTCAGTATCTGCCCTTCATCAGGAGGACAACCACCTTCCACAGCCTTCCCTTGCTGTCATCCAGACATCAGGGTCCTGCTAAGCTCTTGGATGTACCCCAAAGCCTCTTTGCCAAACTGTTCCCGCAGCCAGAAGCCACGATCCCAGACCTTTAGCTCTTAATGTCTACCAGCATCACCTCCACGGTACCTTGAAAAGCCTGGGAGCTCGCAGGTCGGTTCCCACATCCACCACGTAGATGCGGGAGGAGATGAAGCTGGGGAGGATCAGGCGGTTCCGCTTCTTGGTGGCATCCCCGAAGCAGCTGCTGCAGGTGTTCCACCCCGAGTGGTGCAGCTCGTCCCCCAGGTTGGGCATGGGTAGGCGGTGGATGACCTGCAAAGTCCCAGCCCTGCCTACCCTGGTCTTTCCTCTGCCACGCGCAGGATCGCAGGCAGGCTGGGGAGCTCAGTGCATTGCGGACCCCTCCACGGGGTCAGGATGCCTCAAGCAAGCCTCACCCTGCAGAGGGGAGCGATGGCGCACAGGGCATCCTAAGGATGGGGGGTGAAGCGGATTTTGTGTGCGTTTTGTAAGCACAGGAAGGCTCAGAGCCTTGGGAAGAAGCAGACGGGCATCAGCCTTCGATACCGAGCCAGCAGCTTTGGGGAGCGTGAAGGACAAGCTCTGAGCTGTTTCCCAGGCCAGCTCAGTACCGAGATAAAGCGTTTGGTACCTGGCAATAGTGCGGAGATTTGGGGTTGACATCCACAGTGGCCAGAAAGTCGGGTTTCTTCCTCCCCGTGTTCCTGTAGATGCAGGGCACGTACACAATCTCCTCCCGGGGACCTTTCAAGACAGGAACGTTGCATGAGCATCAGCAGAATCCAGCTTTGGCAGAACACAAACCTTGCAGGCATCTCTGGTCTCCCTCCCGGGGAGCCGGTGCGTTCCCCCGCACGGATGGGGCAGTTGGATCTCCATCCCTGCCGTACCAGAGGCACTAGGCTGGGCTCTGTTTGGAGGGGGCTTCCCTGCAGGGGTTTGGGCTTATTCAGATCCCTTGCCCTGGGAAGGGATCTCTGGACCTTGGAGTCCCTACAGAAGTGCACAGCTTTGGGATCACCCCGTGCCTGTGAGGACGTGCCAGCCCTTCCCCAATCCTATCAGTCACACTGCAGTGGCACCAAAAGCCAGGGTATGGGACACGGCCACAGCACCCGTACGCCTCCCGAGGGGTCCCAAGGACACGGAGGAGCTTCTCACCCCTTGCTCGGTGCCCGGCCTGCCAGATGCCTGCACGGAAGAGCTTTTGGGTGCCAGAGGTACTTGGCACCACTGAAGCAATCAGGTAGTTCCCGAGGGAACTTGCCAGCGTGGTGGAGTCAGTGGGACTCACTCGTGCTATTTGCTATTAATGTAAATCCCTGTCCAGCCCTGCCCAACGCTGTTTTAAAGGCTCATCTCTTCCCTGTCCTCTTGTTTCAGAGCTGTTTCAGGGGTAGGAATCACAGCTCATGAGCAAGCTCCAGAGCTCACGGAGGTTTTGAGGATGTGTTTGCTAAACCCTAGAGAAGAGGATTAAGGGAGGGACAGGAGAGCCGATGCAGTCATCGCCCTCGACACGTTACAGCACTAGAGTTTCAGCAGTGCAGCGAGGAGGATTCTCAGGCACAGCGCCTAGACATGTCGGGAAGCAGCCCGTGAGGCTGGTTTATATACACGGAGGTTTTGTCCTGTTGTGATCCCGACCATCAGGAGCAGAGCACAATGAAAAGTCAGGATGGTCCCCTCTCCCTCCCCAGGTTCAGCTCCGGCGGTGGTGGTGTGGGGCTATAGCAATACGATTGCCTCCGAGGAGCTTAAAAATCCCATTTGGTTTTGCACAGGGAGGCCAGGGGTGGCTTTGCTGCAGGCTGTGGCCCATCCCAAGCCACCGCGAAACCTGGAAAGGTTTGTTCCGACACCAGGCTGTCATTATGAATTGATGTTTGGCCTCAGGACAGGCCGGAAGCGAAAGCAGCTTCCCTAACGCTTGCAGGGAACCTCCTCAGAGAAGGGAGTTCATTGATAGCACCCCCTGGGAGCACTGTTTTAATCTTCACCTAAATCACAGACAGCGCAGGGCTCTTCCCTGCCCGCCCTGGATTTCAGACTTGCCTTTCATCGCATCCAGAGGCGAGGCAAAGCCGGGACCGCACGCTCCACACCTTCCTGCGTTGAGAGGAACAGAAACAAACAGAAATGGGAGTTCTTTTAATCCCCTTTGCACAAAGGAACCACTCGCCGGAGCGGTCACGCACGGTCCCACCCCATGGCAATGTCTGAGGCGAACCAGGATGCCCACGTGCATCCATGACCTCCAGAAAGCTGGGGGGGCTCTGGGTGCCCAAAAAGGCCCGTGATGTATTTCTAGTGCAGGAAGGTCCAGGGCTCAGAGCCGCGTCTCTGCTCTGCCTCCCCTCGCGTCCCTGCGGCACGGAGGAAGCGTTGCTCAACACGGGCAGGGCAATGCCAGGCTCGCGTGGCCTCGAGGAGACGCCGAGAGCTCTTGTGATTCTCTGCGAGGAGGAGGAGGAGGGGAGGAAGAAAGGCAGCACGGCTGGGCTGCGGCACCCGAGGAGCCTCCGCAGGTGCCGGGGGCGGAGGGAGGGGAGAGGATTCTCCCGGGAGCCGAGTGGGGAGGGAGCAACCCCTCGCTGCAGGGTGAGGAGGGGATGAGCTGAGCCTGCTCCGCGGCCCCTCCGGGCCCTCTTGGGGATGGCTGCTCCTTGCTGTGCCTGGGGTTGGGGGCGTTAATGGAAAGCTTCCGCACAGAAAGCCCTGTTTCCACTGGAGATGTTCAGCGCTCGAGGTGTCGGCCTCCTTGCCAGCCCCCAGCATCATCCCAGGCGTCCCCCTCACACCGCTGCGGGTCTCCGGGGCACCTTGAACCCTGCCAGCCCCCTTCTCTTTGTAACTGCTTTTAATCGTCGGTCTACCTAAGCGTTCCCTGGCACTTTTAGTCGCTTGGGAAAAGAAACCCCTTCCCAGCCAGAGAAAACACCGCATTCATCCCCACGTTCTTTTTTACTTTATGTTTTCTGGGTGTCACAGCAACAAAACCACGAGACCCAGCCCCAAACAAGTTTAGGAGGACTCCGGAGCAGAGCCCACGGCCAGAAGGCAGCAAGCCACCGACAGTCCCAAGCCTCCTCCTCTTGAGAGAGCAAGCTGCAGTCAACGGAGAGCTCTCCTACCTGTGCTGGAGGCTGGGCTGGGTCTCACGGGGTGCTGGGCAGCGGGAGGAGATGATCCCACCTGCATTCTGCCTGCTGGGAGCGAGTCAAGAGAGAAGATGCAGCTCCGCGGGGGCTCGTATATATAGGGAGCGGGATGGGGAGAAGGAGGGTTTGGAAAAAGGACACCAAGGGGAGGATCCACACCTCTCGGGGTGTGGGAGGCACCGGGGCAGCCTCCTCAGCGTCTTATGGCACTGGAAATGTGCAGGGAAGCTGTTCCAGTGCTGCCAGAACCTCCTCCCCTCCCAGAGGGGCAGGGGACGTGGCTGTGGCTGCACTGCACAGTGCACACATCCTCGCCCACTGGAAACACACGGGCTTTTAGCCGCGAAGGGAAAGCAGGCTGCTCCCCTGCTGCGAGTCCTGCTGGAAGCAGTGTCTCCAGCCCCCCCCGCGGGGCGGACGGGGTGCCCCCGATGAGAGATGGGCAAGCACTGCGTTCCCAACCACAGAAATCATTTTATGAGGCTGCAGATGTTAATCACAAGCGCAAATGAAAAGTGAGGACTGGGTTTCTTTTAATTGCAGGATGAGTGTTTGCTGCGGGATGTTAATTTGCTGGCGGGGAGGAGGGCAGGAGCAGTAACAGTTTTCCCCATGACACATCTGACTTAGTCAGTGTCTGCTCCTGCCTGCGAAGCTGGGCGGGCTTGGCCCGCAGGGGCTCTGCGGTGCGTGCTCGGCCTTCGCAGGCACATCTTTGCCAGCAGGTTGCTGCCAGTGCTCACCCCAGATCACAGAATCACAGAATCCCAGAATGGCAGGGGTTGGAAGGGCCCTCGGGAGCTCACCCAGTCCCACCCCCCTGCTCAAGCAGGTTCTCCTAGAGCATGTTGCACAGGACAGCATCCAGGCGGGGGTTGAATATCTCCAGAGGAGGAGACTCCACAGCCCCCCTGGGCAGCCTGGGCCAGGGCTCAGGCACCCTCAGAGTAAAGAAGTTTTTCCTCATATTCAACTGAAACCTCTTATGTTTCAGTTTGCACCCGTTGCCCCTAGTCCTGTCCAGTTTGTGCCCATGGCCCCTTGTTCTGGCGCTGGGCACCACTGGGAAGAGTCTGGCTCCGTCCTCGTGACCCCCACCCTTGAGATATTTGTAGGTGTTGATGAGATCCCCTCTCAGCCTTCTCTTCTCCAGGCTGAACAAGCCCAGCTCCCTCAGCCTTTCCTCCTAGGGGAGATGCTCCAGTCCCCCCATCATCCTTGTTGCCCTCCTCTGGACTCTCTCCAGGAGTTCCTCATCTTTCTTGAAGATGTAGGCTCTGAAACCAGCAAGCTCAAACAGTCAATCTCTCTGCCAGCAGAGACTCTCAGCCCGCTGCACCAAAACGGCCGATGGCCTTGGCTCAGTCTGTCCCACACTCGGCTCGTCTGCTTGTATTCGATGCTCAACACCACGCGATGGAGCACTCTGCAGATCCAGACCGCGGTGGTCAGCACATCGCCCTGTGTCCCACCTCGCCTCTGACCAAGGAAAGCTTCCCCAGGAGGCCCCAGGGTTTAAATCCAAAGGACAAGGCACGTATAAGCAGCAGCCTGGCATCACCCGGACCTCACATGCACCTCCCAGTCATCCTCCATAGAGCCCTCGCTGCTGCAGTTCAGCAAGATTGCCAGAAGGGTGTTCCTTCCCTTAGGGAAGGGGGTGATGCCTCCTGGTCTAGGAGAGCTGTTGGAAGCTGCGAAGGAGTTGACGGGTGCTTGCTCCAGGGAGAAGCCTATCTTCCAAATTACCACTAGAGGGAACAGACGAAGCATCCCACGTCACCAACCCCAATTCACCGCAGCCACTGTAGACGCACGGGGGTCCACATCCCTCGGGACAAGGCATGCATGAGGGTGAGGAAAGGCCCACGCTCCCCCAAACACGGGAATTGGGACCCAAAGACCTGGGAAGAGGCATTGGAGGGGACAAGAGTTTGCTCCTACCAGCAGAAATACGTCCACGTCCGTGGGGCTCGGGCAGAGCGTGGCCTGAGGGTGGAACCAGGAGCTGGGTCACCTCTGCTGCGTTGCCTGTTGATCTCCATGGCTCAGCTGCAGCCCC